GAGGTGGCGGCGCTGAACGCCGAAGAGATGGAGCGGGAGCGACGCCGGCAAGCCTTGGCACCGCCGCCGCCGCCGCAGCAGCAGCAGCAGCAGCAGCTCGAGGACGTGGTTCAACAAGCGGCGGCGGGGCAGGGGAACGAAAGCGGCGGTGCCGATGCGTGGGAGGTGGAGGTGGCGGTGGCGAAGGCGATGGCGGCTGCCGTTGCCGCGGCAGGCGGCGGCATCGCGGGGGGAGCGGTCCCGGAGTTGTCGGCCGCCGCTGCCGCCGTCGCGGCCGCCGCCGACGGCGACGGCGACGGCCTGGAGGACGTCCCCGAAGGGACGGACGAGGGGCAGAAGGAGGAAGCGCGCATCGGCAAAGAGGTGGTGGGCAGCGGCGGCGGGAAGAAGAGGAGACCCTGCGCGAGAGCGAGCTTCTCCGTCGGGGGGTCAGGCCTTGCCGGAGGCGGCGGGCCCGACTGGTCGCCGAACGGCGGCGCCAACGGGACCTTTCCCCTCCGCAGGGCGCTTACGTTCGGCGAGGTCGGCGGCGGCCACGGCCCGTGCTCACCCGCGGACTCCGGCGGCGGCCGCCTGAGGGAAGTGCCGCTCTCGGAGGCGCAGGCCATGGCCGAGTCCCTGCGCGCCTGGCGCCAGAGTTTCGACGTTCGGAACGCCTTCTTCGGCGAGTCCGGCGACGGCGATGCAGAGGAAGACAGGGGCAGAGCCGTGTCGCTCCAGGTGCAAAGCCGGAGCTTCGCCCGGAGAGGACGCGCCACGGCTCTGGTTACGTCGCGGACCAAGTGGACTAGCGATGTTGTCGGCGGCGGAGAGGGCTCGAGCGGCGTAGAAGCGAAAGGCCTCGGTCTTGAACTGGGGGGGAGGAGCGGAGGCGAGGAGGGCTCAGGCGCGATGGCCGGCGGCGGCGGAGCCGCAAGCGACGGCAGCAGCAGCAGCGGCGGGGGCTGCGTAGACCGGGGTCAGCGGCAGGACGGGGTGGGGGAAAAGACACACCGGACTCTGAGCGACCAGGAGTGGTCGTCGTCTAGGAGAATAGTCGAGATGGCCGCCAGCGAAGCCGCGTCGCTGACGAACCCGGTCATGGCGGCCTTCGAGCGGGAGCGCAAGGAGGCCGCCGCGAGGCAGGCGGAGGTCGAGGACGCGCAGGCGGCGAGAGCGGCGGCAATGGTGAAGCAGGCGGCGGCGGCAGCGAAGGCCGGGGATGGCGAGGTGGCTCCCGCGGCGGCGGCGGCGGCGTCTGCGGCGGGCACGGCGGAGGACGATGGCGAGCTTCATGTGGGGTCGGTCGTACGGCTGGGCTTGAACGACGCTCCCGGGTCGGCGGCGGCGGCGTCTGCGGCGGGCCTCCGCATTGCCGCCGAAGGGATATCGAACCTCTCCCTGAGATCGAGAGACTCGGTGGAGAACCTGCAGGAGAGGGGGGAGCAGTCTTGGGGGCCGCTGCCTCTGTCATCCTCCGCCTGATTGCCGCTGAGAAGCGGTACGTATTATCGTTGTCGCCCGGGAATCGTTGGGTGGCGCTCGTGCGCAAGTAAAGCGTTCTTGGCCATCGTACATACATCTGGGCGCGTTCAGCGGCGGGTGATGCGGTATGCATACGGTTTGTGAAAATGCGGGGGGCGCGGCAACACGGCGCAAGGCTATCGCTCTCTGTCCGTTGGCTTGGGAGATTTATGACTCGGGTGTGAGGAGTTCAAGGGGGGCATTCACTTGGGCCTGGGGGGCGCAGGGGTTGTGTTTGTGCGTACTGTAGGAGCGTTGCGGAGGGTTCAACCTGCACGGCATCCCGCCGTCTGACCCGCTGCGCCTTGTTTTGTGATCGATGAGGGGGGGGGGGGGGAGGGCGGGTAAAATGCAGTAGTGATTGCTTTTCTCTCACGTGCGCACGAGCGAAGGCCTACAAGTATAGCAGGGCCAAACGGCACGCAAGCAGGGAGAGAGGCGGTCACACGCGCTCGCTCGGTGAAACGTTGAGTATGTTGGTTCGTTCCTTAGTTCCCTCTTGAGCGACGAGGTGTTGGGTTTGTGTAGCTGTAGAGGTCGCCAAGAACGAGGAAATTTAGCTCCTCCTCCCGTCAAGTGTGTTTGAGCCGCGCGCCTCACTGGCTGCCTTCAATTTTGTGCCTCGACAGGCAATGGGGTGGTGTGCGAGTTTGGTACGGGGAAAGCTTTTTCTGTGAGTGGGGAAGGTGCGCCGGACAATATTATCACACCTCCAACCGGTAGGTTTTGGAACCCCTTTTCATGCGACAGGTGTTGGTGTTCTGTCAGTTTTCGATTTTCATGCTCAGGGTGTTGTTGTGTGCGCGGGGGTTGGGGATGAACGGGTACGGGGAGATAATCGAGAGAGACAGAGGGGGAGAGAGAGAGAAGAGAGAGAGAAGAGAGAGAGGCCGGTGTCAAGAGTTGTGTGTCGCTACTCCCGGTGGAGAACCGTCGCGAGAGTTTTGTTCCGCGATACATTTATGGCGTAGTGGGTCAGTTAAGAGAAAGGGGTGGTCTATGGTCGTGACTGTCTACAGCCTGGGGGGCCGCTCGGGACATTTTTGATGTGTAATGGGTGTTCTTGCCGAGAATGGTTATAGGAGGATTCCTGGTGATGTTTTTCAGAAAGTGTTCATTCCTTAGTTTTGTCTCGACCTGGTCTTTTTGCGTGTTCTGTATTGTCGTCTTAAAGATGATCTATCTATCTGGCGCGGAAGGGGGTGTTGGTGTTGATGTTGTTCGTGGTGTGCTGTTATGGCACCGTCTGTCTGTGTAGCGGGTAGGGTCAGTTTTTTTTATTGGTCGAGAGAATAAGCCCCGTTTACGGTGACAGAGATAGCACCGCGCGGAGGAGCCGTAGCAAAATCACAAGCACGTGTGTGTAATATCCGTCCACGCTCAGCTCTGGCGGGTTGATCACAGCGGGGGGGGGGTTAAGCCGAAGCCCCTCGTGAGCGAGCTGTTTCTTTTTATTTCTTTGTGAGCAGGCATCACTCATGCTGGCTCGTTGTCGAGGCATCACCCATGCTCGCTCTGTCGTTGGGAGTTGCTTTGCGCGGGTTTGGTTACCGTGACCGTAAATTCTCGGGGTCGTGCTGCCTTGTTTTCTTGTACACGCGGGGGATCCCAGGCATGTTGCCCTGACCACATGTTTTTCTCTTCCCCCCCCCCCCCCTTCGTAATAATGCAAACCCTTTTTCGCGATTTGATTACGACAGTAGTGATTGTAGATGCGATAGGAGAGGGGTGGATGGCCACAAGTCTTTGGTGCTGGGGGCAAGAGAAGGACCTTGTGGGGGGTGACGGGGGGGCTGGGTAGTTTTGGTCGTGCTTTTGTGTCTCGCAGTTTAGTTTTCTCGCAAGGCCACAACCAACCACTGCTGCTGTGCCTCCTTTACCCATGGGATGGAACACCCACGGGATGAAAACAACGGCCGGCTATACGACTTGCCTGTTGTGGGTTACAGGCCCACCCAACCAAATGGTTTCTCTGGTGGTCGAATTTTCTTTCTTTGTGGTGGACTATGGTCTAAAGGTCCTATGTTGGTTTTTCGTCACTGCCTGTCGACCGCACAGCATCACCAGTTGCGTTCGTTCGTGTTAACTAGCTAGCCCTGTTTGTGTGCTGACAGGGTCAAAATCTATCTGTCGATATTTTTCCCTTCACTTCCTTCCTTCCTTCCACTTTATTTACTTGTGTGTAGTGTAAACTTGGCGTTTACCTGCTCTTCCAGTTCCTTTCGCCAATTTTTCGAAACCCGGGGGGCGACGCGAGGGGCCGGGGGGGGGAGGGGGGGGTAGGATTACGTTGCCTGTGGTTGTTTCGCGTAACTGACCGGCCCAGCCCAGAGTCGGAGCCACGTGTTCCGTGTGACGATGCCCTTCTTGGAAATTTGTAAGTGAGTTCGCGCGGGGGGGACGCGAATGAGGATTGGTGCGCACCCAATTAAAACCCGGGGGTGTTATTGCTATGCATGTGATGCGCAACGTGTGTTTGTTCTCCACGGCGTGCGTGCGGAAAGCGAAACGCCCTCTTTGTTGTAGCTTTGTTGTTAATTTTTGGCATTTATCTTTCTTTCTTTTTTTATAATCAACCTTGAACTCGAACGCTTGTTGCAACGCAAGAAGTAGTACGTGTTGGCGGTATACAGAAGAAGTAGGCATTTTTTTTTTCGTCAGCTCCTTGACGCCACGGGCACCGATTGGCGTTCGAACTTTACGTGTGCGCGGTTGGAAGAAGACTGCATGCATGGTGCACGGTACACACACAAGTACGTGCACTGCGTGCTGATGACGAGTACCGGACGGGTGGTGGGTGGTGAGAGGTAGGCTGTGGTGTAATTGGTCAACCTTGCGTGGCCTGCTATGAGTCGAATATGAGAGCAGAGACAGAGAAAATATGGGCGAACGGACGAGGGGATGAGGCACACACAACACAAGTAAGCAAAGCGGTGAACTACACAGCAGTCCATCCATCCATGTAAAGGGAGGGCTGCGGTTTATTGGTTGCCCTCCCACCTCAAATGAGTGAACTCCTTTGATACAGACTATCTGACGAACAGCAACAGCTTGTGCGAACGAAGACGATGTTTTTCGTTGTGAAGCTGCGTGGTGGGTGCTCTTGAGCGCTGGTTGGGCGAGCGGGGGAGGAGAGGTGGTACTCGTGGCTCTGCTGCTGAATGTCTCAAACATGGCGACCAACGGCGATTGCGTACGGCGTCTGGTTGCGTCCCATGAAATAATCGCATGACGTCATATATATGTTGTTGACAAGTCGTCCTCGTGCTGCTGTGTCGATGCCTCATCTTGATTCAAAGCAATTACCAACATGACACAGATGAACGTTTTTGTCTCGCTCCATCTCACGCAAAACCATCACATGGTCCCATCATCTTGACCAAATCAGCGCGTTTGTTTAATCGATGGCGTGCCACCGCATCCCTAACTTCCAAGGAGAAAAAAATAAGTCGGGCTTCACACATGGTCGGTCATCACGTAATAGGCAGTTACGACCAAATCAACGCGCTTGTTTCACCGGGGACGTGCCACCGCACCCTCAACTTCCAAGGAGAAAAACAAGGCGGGCTTCTAACCCCTGCCGGGTATGTAAACCACGAACCAACGCAGTCAGTCATGTCAGTCGTAACGCCGCCAAAACCCATGGCCTACTCGCAACCTATCATCTCGGGACGAAACCGAATCAATCAAGATACCAGTGCATGCAACCAGCCATGTAGTCTGCGAAAGAGAGCAGCCGAAACAAAAGCTGTGCCACTGTACAGTACCAGTCATATATCTCCATCTTTGGTTTGTGTGCGCAAGGTACAAGATAACGTTCGTCGCCCCCTCCACTCTCCTCCAAACGGGAAACCATACCGCTACAATACTCGTCCGACAAATTTCGGGTTTGCCATGGTAAGGTAGGCGGCCTTCCTATTGGCCAAAGCGAGAAGCAAGTGATTTGCCTACCCCTTCTATCGCTCCGTCCCGGCATTGATTGTAGGAATGCGAGGTCAACGCTCTAACGACTACGACATGCGTTTACATGAGTGCTACACCCCATCTGCCATGCCGGGAAGGGCAGCGCGATCGGTCCGGGCATTGCCCTTTCGCATGCGAACAGAGAAAAATGTGTTTGTTCTGCAACAGGTCACCAAGACATGACAAACAAAGGCTGTGTCAGATGCAAGGGAAACTAAAACACAAAGCGAGTAAAATATTCCCGTTCGGACAGGAGGGTGTGCGTGTGCGTTACACGCACAAGTCGTCTCAAGGACGAAAAATAAGCAAACGAGTACGCTCGCCGCCCCCCGCCCCCCCTCCCCCCTCATTAGAACTCCGCAAACAGAGGACACGGGTCTTGCCCTCCGATCAGGCGATGCCGTCACGCCTGCCTCTTGCTGCCAAACGGCCACGTTTCGCGAAGGGAATGCGCCGCTTATCATACAATGTTCTACCCAATCGTTGTACATGTCGAAACAATCACAAACGAACCGCCCCCGCCCCCCGCCCCCACCCCTCTCGTGCACCAGTTTTTCCTTCCGTGCGAGACAAGACAAACTGAACCCGACGCACGTCAAAATGACAAACGGAACACAATCCGATCCTCTCTCTCTCTGCGAATCTTAACCTTGTCCATCAAAACCGAACCACACGCAAGGCCGAAACGGACGATCAACCAACCCATCACACAAACCCATCATCAACAAACAACGACAACAAGAAACAACAGCACCATGCACTCCCTCTCTCCCGCCGCCGACACTATCACCGGCCTCTACCTACCCCCAGGATTCGTGTGTCTCTCCTCGTTGCCGAACAGCCCACAACACCCATCTATACAAGGGTCTCATGTTCTTTCATGTTGCCATCCCAGTGCGCCGAATATACCAAGACTATCCCCGATAGCGGCTCTCAAGACGGCGACGAATTATGGGACGGTGATGCCATGGTACAGTCACTTTTTTTGCGGTAAAAACGCCAATACCATATTTCGCCGGTATTGCGGTCTGATGGTCAGCGGTAAAAGCCAGACTAGGCGGTAGGTCGCCAAATTCCAGAACCCACACTATATAACTAAATTTTAACCGGTGAACATACCCCTCCCCCCCAAAAAAAGTTGTTGCCAGCAAGTTACGGTATTCTGGCGTAAAGCCAAATGACGCGGAAAAAAACGCCGCAATACCGCCCCGTTCACCGCCCGAAAAGAGTACCCGCAGGAGGGGACAGCCTTGGAAAAAACAACACACGTCTCCTCTTCCATCCGGCGGCGCCACGTTCAACGAACATCCTGCTGCACCCCACCCTCCCTTCCCTTCTTGGCGCTTCTGCGCGGCTTGCGCCTTCACGTCAGCGCGGCGAACGACATGTACCCTTCCTCCTTCTGGGCCCCAACCGCGAGGCCCTCCCCCTCCTCCCCTGATAATCTCCCCGTCGAACCCCCCCTCGCTGGCGACACGGAGTCTAGTGGCGGCTCTCCCGGGAACGTCGCCCTCAGCTGTGACCGCTCCCGCTTGCCGCCCGCCCCTCTGTCGTGGTTGCCCCCCATCCTCTTCCCCGACCCAAACTCCGGTGTGCTTGGCGGCGATTCTAGGAGGCTTTCTTCCCCCGTGGAGGTGTTTGATGCCGCCGCCGCTGTGGCTGCCGCTAGCTGGGGCCATGTCCGTGACTTTTGGCCCACGCTGTGCTTCAGCCTTTTTACGCGCGCACGGGACAAGAAAGGAAAACAGTTGTGGCGGCGGTTGTTTGTGGCCCGGTCAGAGATCGGAAAGGATGACCCACTGGAGACCCACCCGAGCACTGCTGTGCTGCTGCATGCATACGCTTGGTCTTTCGCCGCCTACAATGCATCGCCAAGCGCGTGAGCACATCGGACATCGTGTGTTGTTGCTGTTGCACGTGGTAGTGGTGGTTATGGGCTTTGCGATAAAGGAGAAAACTGTACATAGTTTCAGTTTTCGCCCGTCCTGGTTGTTGCTGCTGCTGTTGCATCACAGCACTTCTTAGGGCAGCATAGGGGGGGGGGGGATGGTAGATGGGGTTTTCACGGTGGCCGAGAGGAATGGAATCCCTTTTGTGTGTGTAAAACTCAAAAACTTGCTCCGTAGAAGCAGACCGTCTGCAAAGTAATGTCATTTCGGCAAGGGGCTTGGCGTCTCCCCGCACGAGTTGCGGAACTGGCCTCCATAGTAAACTACCCCAACGGTCCCAAAGTTTCCAAACTGTTCGCATGTGCAAAAACTGCTCGGACAAAAAAAACTGTGAATATCAATATCCCAATGTCCCCTGTCTGCAAAAAAATAGCGGTACAGAGCTCCTCTCCTCCCCTGCTCCTCCCCTGCCCAATCAACCAATGACATTCCTGGTTTGGTTTGGCACAGCAAACGCAAAGGATGATGGCCAGCTTCTGGTTAATCCTTGTGAAGCGTAGCCTGGCCGGAGGAAACCCGGCACATCGCTCCCTCCGTCCCGGTTTCGTAGGGATGTGAGGTCAATGGTCTACCGACTACAACATGCTCTTACAAAGGTACCCCCCCCCCGCCCCCCGCCCCCCTCACATGATGCTCTGTCCCGGCATTGGAGGGATGCGAGGTCAATGGTCTACCGACTACAACATGATGCGTTA